ATGTTTGCATTTCTGTGCACTTAATGGAAGTTAAATGTTGTAGCTTCAACCGATAATTTGTTGTTTGTGAGCACCAAAATGATTTATATGGCGTAGGAACTTATCAATATATCCAAATGCTTTTCCAACAATCGTAAAAAATTAAATACATTTTAACTAATCCTGATGGTTGCATTACAGAATGACTGCTGCTATCTATATGATAGAGAAGGATTCGAATCCCTGATTTTCTTATTGATACTTCGGCTCTGAAGACCGACTCTTTCAACTGCTCAAACATCCATGTTCTTCACGCTTTGTAGTACGTGCTATCTATCCGCACACGACAGGTTTCCGACTGAAGTATCAGGCTAAGTTTTCTTCACCTTATTTTTGTTTGCTATTTTTTTCCCTTTTCATGGACTGAAATGAAGGGGTAGGCGTTTGGTGAAGAAAAAAGAAACAGAAAAAGAGAATGACGATGGATATTGTATTAGAATTAATCCGACTATTATAATTTGTTGGGAGCAGCCAGTTTGGACTCCTTCCAAATAATGTGGATTTTTTACTATTTTTTGAATAATATATGATACACGAATATGTCACTGCATTTTTCCTATGACTACTTATGGTTATGCCTTTTTGTTTTAAAGGTACATTAATTTACTAGATGTTTTGGTTTCAAATAGAATATTTATTATACTTTTTTTTATTTATTTTTTGGTTATTTTGGAATTTAGGTAATCCTTGCTAGAAGCATTGCTCTTTCTAGGTGGATAAAGAAAGATGGATAAAGAAAGAGGAAAGTTGCAGGTTTTTGGAAATGCATGACTAGCAGCAATTTGGCCAATCATATGTCTGAATTATAAGTCTTGTATCAAAGAACAAGGTGTTTTTACTGTTGCATTATTTGGTTCACCCACCCTCACTAACTTGACAGGGCATGCTAAGATAGATTTATGTAGTTTGTGTGTTTTTAAAATTTTTGTCTATTTTCTGTAGAATGAATTATTTAGTGACGCCTGAATATCTTTATTTTATGAGAAGAATATTGATTGGGCTAAATGAAAAATGGACAACTACGTCCGTCTAAAAAAAAAGTAATGTCAATCTCAATCGAAATATCTTGATGATATTTATTGTCCTATTTTGGGTTCTTTTGTTAATCTGTGTATAGCTGATTGGTGGGTCGTAGTGCATTCTCTGGGATGTAGCTAATTGTCTTTTTTTTTTTTTTTTACATTGTCCTGAGGTCATCTTGATGCGATAAAATTTTCTAATTTCCAGGTGGAGGTGGCTTGATGTTTATAATCGGCAATAGCAGTGGAGGATTTGTTTGGCTGCATTCACTTGAAAATTATGAGGTAATGAAGAGTAAATCCACATTGGGAGTGTGAGCTTCATGTTTGTTAATTAAACTTTGCATCTTTGAAGGTGGTGGAGTAACAAGCTTTCTTTATGGAATATAGATGCCTATGACTTTTGTACATATACACTTTATCTTTAGATTGCAATAATTATATGCATTTACTAAATGGTTGATATTGATTGGAATGTCATGTGATGTTTGTTTTATTTTATAAGCTTTTCATAGTCATTCTTTTGGTAATTAACTCATATTCCATTCTATTTGTTTTCTTTGAACATAATTCACATATTACAAGTGTATTCAAATGTTCATGAAATTACTTATCAAATATATATTTAAAATAATTAACGTGGGCCAGCCGTGCTATGCACGGCGATAGCCTTCTAGTATATATATATATAAAACAAACATTTCATCTTCAGATTATATGACCATTTTTACATCATATTTCTCACCAACTGTATAGAGTTGTGCAAAACTGTGGTTAAAAAAAAAAATGAACATCTCTTCAGGTGATATATAACAAAATATTATGTCAATTATAAAAGCAAAAAATGTGGTTTATCTGACAAAATATATAGTATATATGCAGCACAAATATACTAAACATAAAATCAATAAACGTGAACAAGGACTTACGAGGAATTTTTCCTTGAAAAAATCAATTCGGAAAATACACGTCGTGAGAATTCGACGAAGACTTGCTTCAAGCTCTCGAGTTCAGCAGTAATTGTGTTTAGATGGGTTATAACATCAACATCATTGGTTGGAATGTTGTGGTGTGGCACTTGATGGAATCTCGTTTCGAATGAACTCATTTTTTTTTTTTTTGAAGAACGAGTCCAACAAATGAGTCTGTTTCTCGGCCTCGGCAGAAACTATGTTCTTGAACTATGCAAACCATTAAAAAAAAATTTATCAAGACCGATAGAAATATATAAGAAAACACAATTATTTACCTTTGAGTAATAAAGGTTGGAAAAGGTCCTCTCCATGAAAATATGAGTATAAGTATCCCGAACTTCCCACTTAAGTATCCTGGGAATATCATGTACACCAACGTAGGTGGAGACTACACCCTCAGCAGTTTTGCAAACCTTATAGAACCATGTCTGAAGTGCCAGAATAAGATAGACGTAGCCACCTCCCTCAACCTTCTCAAATATGTGCATCTGCTCTCTCGTGTGAATTGATTTCTTCAGGTAATGAAGGGTAAACTCAAAGACATCGGTACCCCAAGAATAATCATCGCACTCCGCACTTCAATCATGTCAATGTAACAGCGGTCGATACGAAGGGAGTCTTGAGATCCCATGAGGAAATTTGCTAATAAGTGTAACTTAGCAAGTTTCACTACGTCTTCATCACTCGCGCATGATTTTTTTAGAAACTGCCACCTAATATGGTTCCAGCTTAATTCAACCCCATCGAAATACTTGTCGTGCAGGTCATCAGAAATCTTTGGAATATTCAGTTTCTTGTTGTATCCAGTGCATTTCAAACCCGTCACAACAACAAACTCCTCTATGTCAAACCGAAAAAATTTCCTTCCAAAATTAAACCAAATCTCATATGTCCTATTCTGATGAACCTCGCGTAAAAGTATATAGTTTATGAGCTGGTTCTATACAATGCAGCGAGGGAGGTCCAAGAACTTCCCAAAAGCTGACCTCCTAAAAACTTCCAACTGCTCCTTGGTAAGTCTTCTTGATTTCACTTATGGTGGATCGATCTTTGCTATTATCATTACTGCTTTGGACTTCACGTTTATATCCCTTGGGTGCAGGATCAACAATTCCCATTCTTGAAAATCATTAAGAGTGGGAATTGTTACAATATATATATATATATATATATATATATTGTTAATGATTTTCAGGAGTGTGAATTGCTGATCCCGCACCCAAGGGATATAAACGTGAAAGTCCAAAACAGTAATGTAATAGCAAAGATCGATCCACCATAAGTGAAGACGCTTACCAAGGAGCAGTTAGAAGTTTTTAGGAGGTCAGCTTTTGGGAAGCTCTTGGACCTCCCTCACTGCATTGTACAGAACCAGCTCATAAACTATATACTTTTACGCGAGGTTCATCAGAGTAGGACAGATAGATTTGTTTAATTTCGGAGAAAATTTCTCCGGTTTGACATAGAGGAGTTTTTTGTTGTGACGAGTTTGAAATGCACTGGACACAGCAAGAAACTGAATATTCCAAATATTTTTGATGGCCTGCGCGACAAGTATTTCGATAGGGTTGAATTAAGTCGGAACCACATCTGGGGACAGTTTCTAAAAAAATCATTGGCGAGCGATGAAGACGCGGTGAAATTTGCTAAGTTACACTTATTAGCAAATTTCCTCATGGGATCTCAAGACTCCCTTCGCATCACATAATATACCATATAATTCGTCGAAGCTGCCTTCTTTTCGTACCAAAACACCAGAAAGTTGGTAATTCACGTAATAATTCATGACCCATTCACCCCGTGATGTATGAAAATCATGCTCGAATCCACTAAAAAAACGAGAATATACATATACCCATCAGTATAAATATCAACGTCTACTACGATTGAACGAAGGTTAATATCACAAAATATACCTCCAGATCTTCGACCTGGGAAGTATTAGATTGTTCTTGAGGGTTGTTCTCCAATGAACGATCGACACAACACAAATTTTTTCCTGGGGTATATGTTCGGGAAAGAAAAACGATTGCGCTTGTATCAATGATGATCGATGCCCACTTCTGCGTTTTTTTTTTTTCGTCTGTATCAGCGAATATTGTTTTTTCAAATTCAAATATGATTCTTTCCATCTTCAATCCGGAAATCCTACGCTAAAAACATAAACATAGGATAGGTTTGACAAATAGCAGTAACTGATTTTTCATGAATGCAAATATTTCTTATCTATTAGGTATATTCTCAATTAAAGTGTTATGAATGGTATGTTGCAATTACTTCCAAATCATGTAGGATGCTTAAAAATTTCTTAATTATAAACTACTGTTGTCTCAAACATTTATATGATGCAAGGCGGGCAAAGTCCTCCGTGCATGCATGAAGAATTGTAAAAACATGGGTATATGCACAGAAAATCAACCAAAATCAATCGAAAACAATTTTCTACTTAATTTTCATTGTATAATCGATCTTGATGTTCAATTTATTCAATTTTGTAGTTTTACTTTCAACACACCCGGCCAATTTATCGACACCATTATATCATACTATATGCATTATGATTCAAATATCTACAGATTCATATTTATATTTAATTTTATTCAACAATACGCATTAAAAAATCTATATGCTTGTTTGATCGATCCTTCATGACAAACAAGAACAACTTTAGAGAGGGTTTTAGAATACCTTCACTGCAAAGCAATTCAAATACCACTCCAAAGGCTTCATCAAATTCCAAGTTTTCCAATAATTTTCTTTGTTCTTCAAAATGAAAAAAAGTGAGTCTTTAAACTCTGCAAGACAAGAATATTCATCTCCAGCTATCCATCTTCCTCACCAAGAAAGGGAAAAAAAATCCCACCTTTTTCACTGTATAAATGATCAAACTTGCTCAATCTCTCCACCCAAAAGCCGCAAAAACCACGTCAAAGAAAACATTTAACCACCAGAGATAAATCCACTAACCATGCCGCCGCCGCCACCACCAACGCCGACGGTCACGAGGGCGGCAGGTCGACAGCACTCACCCCTGCTCCGTCTGATTTTCTGCACCCTACTCGCCCTGATTGTATTTTTCGGCGCTGTAGTCCTCATCATCTGGCTGACCGTGCATCCCAGGAAGTTCAAATACTCCATCGAGCAGGGATCCATCTCCGGCTTCAACCTGACCAGGAACGACCGCCTCACCGCCGATTTCCAATTCTTCGTCCGCGCGAACAACCCCAATCGGAGGACTTCCGTGTACTACGACAAGATCGACGCCACGGTGTCGTACGACGACCAGGTGCTGTCCACGGCCAGCTTGCCGCCGTTCCACCAGCCGCGGCGGAACGTGACCCAATTGGATCTGCACCTGAAGGCGGCGGAGGCGGCCCTGTACGGGGCGGTGGCGCGGGATCTAAGGATGGAGCGGGCGGCGAGGGAAATTGGGGTAGATTTAAGGATTAGGGCTAATATTAGGCTGAAGATTGGGGTTTTCAAGATCCACCGGAAGCTTAACGTGCTGTGCGGGCCGGCAATTGTTCCGTTTAACTCGTCCAAGGGTTTTGAGAGGGTTTATTGTGAGGTGGATTTTGACGATTGAGGTTGATCTGTTGAGGTGTTTTTTTTTTTTTTTTT